AAACATTGAATAACATTATTTCAAAACATAAAGCCACCGGGGTTCTCCCTGGATCTGTGATGTTCCCTATTCTTCGCTCCTTTGGATTCCGTAAAATAACTGTTTGTATTTGATTCACTCCCGTTTGATTTTCCCATCTCCAATGTTGGAAGCCTAAATTTTGAAACCTGGAAGACAGAACCACTGATCTTAATCGAGTCTTCTTAAGTGACCCTAGTCATTTAAGATGTAATTAACTATAGGAGCTTGCCTCTATAGGGAACTTGGAACCCAGATAAAATAAACCTTATTTAATACCTATATTAGGTAGGGGAACTTGCCGGCCATACATAAAAGGTTTTGCAGATCAAACGGATGTCACAAACTTTTTAGTTCAGGTAGTTGAGCCTACTGTTAAGTGTTATGTTTATCCTTCGGGATAGTGTATTACTTGTGGTATCGTGTTCAACCGTCCAAACTATTTAATATGTGAGACTCGTTTGGTCTCATCTATTTTTAATTAAAATGTTACTTTCAAAAATTATATTTATATTAAAACTATTTTCATATTTTACAAAAATCAATCCTTTCAAAAAATAACGGCCGACAGATCTGCAACCAAATATTCTTAAAACACCAGTAACTTAGATCACTCAATGTTTCTGGCTTGCAGATCAATGTCAATGATCTTGATCTTATATTAGAAGATATTATTTGATTGTGTGGGGAAAAAAATTATTACAACAATTAGTTGCTGCATGTATTATATATGTTATCAGGTTTGAAATTATTAACGAACCTACATTATAAGCTATGTTGGTTTTGCTTAGGCTTTACTAATTGTACTTAGCTGTAATTATCTTTCTATTTGTTTAGCATAGACTTCCTATGTATATCTCGCTGTAATAGCTTGCTAATTAATGAAATTACTTCCCTCCTCTCCGGGAGCTTTTATTTCATGGTATCAAAGCAGGTCTCCTGAAGTCCTCATCAAGTTTTCTTTTCTTCTTTTCTCCAGTCTTCTTTCTGCTCTCAAATTCGTCTGCACTGATCTTGGCTCATCTTCGGTGTACCTTCTTTCTTTTCTTCCCCTTGAACGCTTTCCCTGCCGCCAACTTTTTAAACTGCTCCTGCCTATTTCAGGAGGCCTCAGTGGCCTTCGCGCAGGCATCTTCAAACTTGAGGCGATCGGCCTCCTGCTGTGCCTTTGATTGACTGAAGCAGGAACACAATGCCATGAATTTATGTCGCCGAACAAGGCTTCCAACTCTTCTCTCGGTGGATTTATGTTTCTTTTCTATCGTGAGCCTTCCTGCCAAGGTTCACACCTATTTCTTGCTTCGGCTTTGTACTTCTGCAACTATGGAAGAATCCAACTCCTCTAACATACTTGAGGGATTGGCACATTTAGGCATTTCAGAAATTTCTATCCCTCCCCACCCCGAAAGCCTCATATATTTCTTTCAAAACTGCCTCAAGAACGCGATCAAGTCCTATAAGTCTTGACAAATTATATGCTCTTCTAACTAGTGAAGAAATCAATCTCTCCACTGAGACCCCCAATCCTATGGATCCTTATCCTCGGCTAGCTTTATACAACTTCAAGAGCGAAAACAAATTCCTCAAAGGCAACGCAAAAGCACCCGCCTCCAATCCAAGAAAGTGGTCGATGGATCCAATTCTAGGCCTAAAGCTCATGGTTCCATTTATTTCCAAATCTGTAATAAATCTGGCCATGTGGCATCTCATTGCTGGCATCGTTTTAACAGGGATTATCAACCCAAAGTTTCAGCCCCTACTCCCTTTACTACTCCCCAGGCACCTTATCTCACTTCTACTTCCTGTCACAAGCCCGATTGGTATCTTGATACTGGCGCTACCTACAATCTCACTTTAGAATTTAGTCAGCTACAACAACCAGAACCTTATCAAGGGAATGAGACAATTATAGTAGGTAATGGTCATACAGTTCGGATCAAACACTCCAGTTTCGGGATATTACCTACCCTGCATCGTAAGCTTTTCCTTCCAGATTACTACACACTCCCCAAATCTCTCTCAACTTGATTTCTATCTCTTAGTTAGCACGTGATAATAACTGTATGATAATTTTGATGCAAATGGCTATCAAATCAAGGATTGAACGACTCAACAAAATCTCTGCTGCCATGGTCTCTGCTGCATTGTCGATAATTCACATGCTCTAGTGTCGGTGGCCCCTTCCAACAGGTGGCATCAACGGCTTGGTCATCCGTTTCATCACGTTCTTCATCTACTTTCTACTCAACAACCACATCTCAATATTTCCCAAAACTTTTATTTTTTGTGATTCTTGTGCTACTACGAAATGTCATCGCAATTATTTTTCTACCTCAACTAACACACAATGTATTCCTTTAGCTTTAGTTCATACTGATGTTTGGAGACCTTACCCTATAGCTTCTGCTCAGGGATATAAATATTATGTGCTCTTTATCGATGATTTTTCACAGTACACTTGGATTAATCCCATGCTTCACAAATCTGAGGTTATTATTCATTTTATTAAGTTCAAACAAAAAGTTGAACCTCAATTCAACCAAAAGATAAAAATTCTATGTTCTGATAATGGTGGGGAATTTACTGGTCATCAATTGTCGGTTTACTTAACAAGTATGGTATTATACATCAAGCGAGCTGTCCTTATACTCCGCAGCAAAACGGATTCGCTGAACATAAGCATCGACATATTTTGGAAACTACACTTGTGTTGATGGCCGACTCTCATATACCCTCCTCTCTTTGGCTTGAGGCGGTTCATACAGTCATTTACTTGATCAAGCGCTTACCTTCTAAAGTAACCCACCATTTATCACCAAACCAGCTTCTATATAGAAACACCCCACACTATGAACACCTCAACTCGTTTGGATCTCAATGCTTTCATTGGTTAACTTCCATCTCTCGTAACAAATTGCAGCAAAGATCTCTATCTTGCGTTTTTCTGGGCTACCCCTCTCACATCAAAGGTCATAAATGCTTTGATCCATCCATTGGCAAGATGTTTATAAGTCGACATGTAATTTTTAATGAATCAGGTTTTACTTACAATTCCAAGCTTCAATTCGATAGGCAACCTACAACACCTCAAATTACAAATCCTCTCACCTTTATTCCCACGTCAACAATCTAGCCCACCAGAACTCCAGCAACCCGAGAAACATCAAGCTCCAAGGTATCTTAATCTCCTACAACATCCAAAGTGTGAAGCCATTACCTCCAAAACATTCTATGATCACTCGCTCTCAGACTGGTACCAGACCTGAAAAGGTGATTTTTGATCTTCTACATGATCAAGACTTACATGAAACACCTCAAACCTTTAAGCAGACGTGGAAACTGGTTCCTTCTCCCACTGATCATCCAGTATTTGGAAGTAAGTAGACCAATAAATTCAAATATGATAATGATGGATCTGTCGCCCACTACAAAGCTCGACTAGTAGCTCTGGGATATTAGCAAAGAGTATGACCTTAACTATACTGATACTTTCAGTCCTGTTGCAAAAATTCTACGATTCGACTTCTCCTTATTATCACTCTCCATTACAAATGGAAGGTACTCCAAATGGATGTCTCCAATGCCTTCTTGCATGATCATCTCGAGGAAATGGTTTATATGCATCGACTACTAGATTACAAAGGTCCCTTACATCCTTTTTATGTATGTCTTCTACAAAAATCCATCTACGGTCTCAAGCAAGCTCCTAGACAGTGGAACAATACTTTCACCACTCATTTACCTAAGTTTGGATTCACCACAAGTACTGTTGATCCATCTCTCTACATCTATTGCAAGGATTCTCATCTTTTATACCTACTACTTTATGTTGATGATATACTTCTAACCAGTAATAATATTGGTAGCAGCAACTTTAACAAGAATTACAATATCATTTTTCAATGTAGTTTATGTATTTGGTCTCTACATTTCTCGGGATCAATATTACCAACTCCCCAAGGCTATCATCTCAACCAAACCATTTATGTTCATGAGATGTTGAATCATGCCGGTGTGATTACTTGCAAATCGGTTATCTACACCTCAAATCATTTCCATCAAGGCTTCATCTGACACTACTGCACCATTGTCCCATCCTTCTCATTATCGACAAGTTGGTTCTCTCTAGTTCCTCACTTTAACTCAACCAGACATGGTGGCAGTGAATTCTCAATCTCAACATCTTCAAGCCCCTCTTCAGTCTCATTATCAAGATCTTACGCTTCTTCTCAGGTTTCTTTAAGGTTCCTCAGATTTCTGCCTACCATTTAAAGTCGATCCACTGACCTTTCACACTTATGTTGATGCTAGTTGGGCTAGTGACATGAATGATAGAAGGTATATTACTGGCTATTGCACTTTTGTTGGTCCTAATCTTTTCTCTTGGAATGTGAAAACTTAACCTACTATTGCTCGGTCCTCAACAGAGACCAAGTATCAGATCATCTCTTCGGCGATAACCGAAGGAATTTCATGTCTCTGTAACTATTCCTACTACAATTTACTGTGATAACATATTTGCTATGGCTATCACTAAAAATCCAGTCTTCCATGCTCAAATCAAGCATGTTGACATTGACTATCATTTTATTCGTGATCACATTCAGTTACATGAGATTACTTTACATTATGTGCCGTCAAAGGAACAGATAGCGGACATCTTCACTAAATCCTTACCGACCCCTACATTCTACACTCTTCGGGACAAACTAACAATATCTCCAAATATTTTTAGTTTGAGGGGAACTATTAACAAACCTACATTATAACCTATGTTGGTTTTCCATAGGCTTTGCTAATTGTACTTAGCTGTAATTATCTTTCTATTTGCTTAGCATAGACTCCCTATATATATCTCGCTTTAATAGTTTGCTAATTAATGAAATTTCTTTCTTCCTCTCCTGGAGCTTTTCTTTCCATATTTCATTTTCTTTCAGAAATCTTGTGTTATGTTTTCAACTGAAATAAATGTTGTTATGTAGGTAGATCAAGACTGAATATCATTTATTCTCCTCGGGATTTTCGAGGCGATGCAGCTTCACCTCTGGAATGGAATGATATTGCTGTGAAGCCTTACACTGAGATCCTCTTTCAGCCTCTTAATTCCAAGAAACCTCGCAAGTTTAAGCTGTCAAACATTGCCTCAGTTTCCCTCAGTGCATAATATGAATCTCCGCATTGCTTATGGAGGTAGGCTTTGTAGAATCTTGTATATGAATTCCTTAAGTTGCACTGTGCCCGTGCTTTAAATGTGAAAATTCATCGAGTTGCTTTCATGAAAAATATTAGGAAACTTTACATGCATACCACAATTTATATCTATTTGACATATCTAACCCTCAGTTTGATATTGACGCTTAACAAAAATCTTGGTGTCATAAATTTATGCATGAAAATATTTAGATATTAGATATTAGATATGTGAAGTATTGTGTGATATCTAAATAACAGCGCTATTTTTTATGTGATATAGTAAAGGCGCTATTTTTTATGTGATGTAAAAGATTTGAGTGCCACGTTGGTAAATATGAATTTTTAGATGTTAGATATGTGAAGTATTGTGTGATATCTAAATAAATGCCCCGAAATATTATCATGTTCAATGCAGAATACTGATCAGTCGAAGTAGTTTTGTTGTATAATTTCATTTTCTGCAGTTATCTGAAAATAGAATACAGAAGCTGAATTCGGGTAGAATGTTAAAGTTTAGGCTTTTTTTTAAATTTGAGTGTTATAAATGTAAAGAATTGCGTGTGTATGTAAATGACCCATGTAAGATTTACATACATAACACTCAATTCCTTTGTATTTACATATCTAACACCTCATATCTAACACCTACATACATAACACTCAATTCCTTTGTATTTACATATCTAACACCTAAACTTCAATTTTTACTTATATGCCATTTTATCTAAGCATGGAAAAGATTAATTCACATTTTAAAAGTCAAAGCAGTGATAAATCTGATGTGATGGGGGGTATAACTCTAAGAAGTAAAGTTTAGCTGTTAGATATGTAAATATACAAGACTTGGGTCTGCCTGTAAAAAAATTTTGTCAACCTCCTAATCATAAGGTGATCTTGTCAAGAAGGAAATGAATCTTATTGGCTTTGGGTTTCGCTTGAAGTTTCTCATTTCTTCTGCTGGCTCATTCTGTTGCTTGAAATTTAATGAAATATTTTAAAAATTGATAGTTAATCTTTACTATATACTAATGATAATCATCAAAGTTATGAAAAGATTTGGAAGCATAGATTTAGGTCCAGTTTGGGACCGGGGACCCTGCATTGTAGCGGCGGGATGAGAAATTTTATTGTTTGGTTCAGTATTCTGCGCATGCATCCTGCCGCGGGTTGAACCCTGCGGCCAACGTTCATGGGAAGCTGTTCGTAGCGCTCCACCATAATACCCGAGCGCTTCGCTCAAAAAGGAGGATGTGAAGTTACCTTCTTCCATCCTTCTTCCATGGTTTCGGCGGCTGCTTCCATGGTTTCGGGTAGGAGCAGAGCGGAAGGAAGAGAGAGACGGGAGTTTTCGGTCACCGTGTCTCCTGATCCAGACGTTGCCTTCTCAGTTATCTCTAATGTAACTGTATCACAAGGTTCGGTCACGAAGGCGATGGTTTGGGCGAAATCGGAAGGGTCAGGGGCATGTGCGGATTTCGGGTAGAGAAGGGGGGGAAGAAAACGAGGGTGATTAATAATTAATAATTAAGTTATATGTTTTCAAACTAATTATAATTAGATAATTCTATATTAATTATTTAATAATTAATTAATTACAAAATATTTTTAAAAATTTAAACTATTTAATAAAATTATAAATAACTCTTATTTGATATAATTAATAACTAATAAATTAATAATCGATTAATGTTAAAATTTTATTTAATAAATAATTAATTTAGTAATTTTGATCAAATATGTGACTATCACAGTTCTGTTTTAAACAATTTTGCTAAATAGAGACAGAATTGTCATTTTTTGTGAAACAACTGTCCTGCAGTTATATTCACGTAGTTATAACAAACAAATAACCAGCTTCCCCACATCAACTTTCCCGCCGCAGTTTTGTGGGGCTGCGCAGCTACAGCTGAAAAACTGAAAAACTGCGGCTGATCCAAACAGTCCCTTAATGTTAGTCTCATAACATATGTGCTATAACTATGTTAGTTTTTGGTTTAGTTAAATTCTCATATGCTGCAAAAGCTAAAAATTAAACTATAAATTGCATAATATCTTGATGCACTTGATGCATGACTGAATTGATGATTGATTACAGTTCTCATTTATAAGATTAAATATCCCTCAATCCATATGTTTTTACATATCTAACTTCATATATATTTACATATCTCACGCATAACATTCATATCTACATTCATATGATTGAAATCTTTAACATCACATTAAAAATTCTACTATCGGTATTATTTTAAAAGTGTAACACACATTTTCATGTATAAATTTATGGCAACAGGGCATTATTAAGTGTAAATATCAAAATTTCATATGTAAATTCATAAAAGATGTGTGGGTTATATAAATTTCTCTAAAAATAATATTGTGTTGATTAAAAGCTATAGAACTCCATAAGTGCATTAATTAAGAATTGGCACTCCTAGCCCCAATTCTCTTGTGCTCAAAGGCTTACTCATTTCATAAAAATCTTGAACATAACGTTCGATAATTTCAGGCAAATTTCAGGCCAAAATCCACTTCTTTTACTGTTAAATAACTAAACAATTCCTTTTGGATAAGATGATAGAAAACGTACACTTTGCGGTAAGAAAATTTGCTACTTCGTCTCCAACTATTAAATATTTGAGTAATTTCATTAAGAAATATTATGAAAACTTTATTATACTTATAACCGTTTGATTATGTTTTTCTTTATATAAGGGAGAGCCTAATTCTAATACGTATCGAAGTCTAGTGTCACGGACAAATAGTCCCATATCGGCTATGTGTAGGGCCGAAAAGCAGTATTTTAGTCCTGGGCTGCCCACCACCCATAAGGGCTCTTTTGGGAGGTGACAAGTGGTTACAGAGCAGATTACTTCCTGCCAGGTGTGTGGACTCTCCATGGGCCAGTGGGACCCTCGGTGGTGTCGATCCGTGACAAGGGCGTCACGCGATTGGGTGGAGGAGAATGTCACAGACAAATAGTCCCACATTGGCTAAGTGTAGGGCCGAAAAACAATATTTAAGTCCTGGGCTGCCCACCTCTCTTAAGGGCTCTTTTGGGAGGTGACACTAGGCAGGGCAGAGCCTGTTCAGGCTAGAACATTTAATGATCTAAATTTAAGCTGTTGGGGTGGGCCTAAAATTATCCTTTGGCTCGTTATGTTTGATTTTGAGCAAGCTTGACTCAAAATTGAATCGAGCTTGTTCCAGCTCGAACTTGAAAGAGTTGGTTAAAATTGAGTTCTTTGGATCAGTTTCAGCTCAAAATTAGCTTGAATTGAAACTAGTTGGCTTAAATTGTTATTTTTATTTATTCCGACTCGAAATTGGGTCTTGAATTGTTATATTTAATTGTATTTCGTATTACATCTAAAATTTTTATAAATAAAAAATTACTTCGAGTTGATCTCGGGCCAGTGTTAGTCGATTATGTATGACACAAAATCGGCTAAAAAAATTTGATCCAAAGTTTTGGCTCATAGCTTGACTCATTTATCTCGATCAGATCCCGATCTGAGCCAAGATTCAAATCTGATTCTGAGTGATTAACAATTTTTTACCTGAATTCATAGCCCTAGTCCAGGCCAGTGTATGAGGGACTAACATAACAATAATCCCTAAAAAAAAAACATTGTCCTCAAGATGAAATGATTGAAACTGATTCAAATCACTTCATAAGGCTCACAAGTTGTTGTATAATCTGACACATCTTTTCACTTCATCAACACCTCCTTTGCCTCTATCGCTCATTGACACATCTCTTCTACCTCCAAAGGTTTCAAAACCGCCTTCATATCATCTATCAGCTTCGGATGTAGAGAAGACAAGAGTCTATGGTTTCTAATAGCACCCCTAATCTATGATACATAAAATATTGGATATAATAATAATCATAGTGGTAACCTCAAACGATATGCCACCACCCCAATACGTGCCACAATCTCATACAGCAGTTTGGGGATGTACCTCAATGCCCTCGATAACATGAATCATCCATGGTAGAGTTGTTGTCCCATCAATGCATTCTGGAGATTAGTCAGATCTCGTGGCATCTCTGCCTGATTCCTCAGCGCCTCGTTTTATTCACTCTCCTACCTCAAAGCTTCCCAATCTAAGACCATGGGTAATGAAAAAGTTTTCAGTTGAGGCTCCTCCTTCCTCAATAGTGCATCCACAACCTTATTCTCCAGTCCTTGGCAATATTGAATATCAAAATCATATCCAAGTAACTTGGATAGCCACCTCTGATACTCCTAATCATCATCCTCAGCTTCAACAAATACTTCAAGTTCCTCTAATCAATCTTGACTAAAAATTGATGCTCAACAGATAAGGATATTGCTTCTGAATTGCCAAAATAATAATCATCAACTCCCTCTCATATACGGACTTGAGTTTATCTCTTATCGCCAGCACTTGATTAAAATAAATGATAGATCGTTGAACTTGCCTGAGGACTGTGCCTAATCCATATGTTGAAGCATTTGTCTCTACAATGATAGGTTAGTTGAAATCAGGTAACACCAGCACTGACGCGCTCGTCATGACCTTCTTTAACTTCTCAAAAGCTTGGGTTGCCGCTTTCACCCATTAAAAGTTTTCCTTCAACTTCTCGGTCAACAACCGCAAAATTGAATTACAATCCTTTACGAACTTTTAGTAGTTTTCTGTAAGTCCTGGAAACTCTAACATGGTTGCTACCTTTGATGGATCTGCCAACCCCCAGGTCTTGCACAAACTAGGGTCACTGTGAAGCACTACCATATTGTCTTCCTCCTGAAAACTCCACAATGTCAAAATAAGTCCCTTATAAACTCCCTTGTTCTTCTCAACTTGTCTTGTTCCCATCATTACTCCTGAATTGCCTTCTGCCCCGAAGACCGCCACAGTGTAGTTGGATGCAGGCATGTACCTCAATGCCCTCGGTAACATAGTTGGATGCAGCCCTTCGTCAGGGTCTAACTCAACATGGTTGTCTATTCTAGGCTGAAATTCTTAGAAGCAACCTTTTCCCCGTGAGTCGCACACCGTCTTATTTATTTTGCTAGCACGCATTCCAAACTTCCATATATCATGCTATTCCCTACAGATCTTGCCACTTAAATCTGTTCCATACTCCTTCGCTCAATCTTCCCTGCATCTGTTCATTCAAGTCATTTGAATGTCGTGTTATTTCTTTCAAGTATTGTCACTCAAGTCCACTCCTCACTTCACTTAATCCCAGTTGCTTTTGTTTGTTGCATTCGTTCAGATATCATATCATTCCTTCCAAGTGCCACCTCTGAAGTCCACTCTTGATTACTTTGCTTCGTCATGTGGCTCTAGATCCTCCTAAGGCAACAACGCTGCCCTAATGCCGCACAAATCCTTCAAATTGTTGCTACTCACATCCACTCTTGATGTTGTCGCCCGATCCCAAAGCAGGCAGTGGTGGGTTTGCCTGAAACTCCATGATCATCTTTATCATTTCTTCCAAAACCATGAATCTCCGCTTCATGGACAAGAACCACCAATCCATGGATAAGAACCGCCTCTCTATGGCAGAGAAACACTCGTTCATTTCAAATCTGATTTGACTCAACTCTCTGTCCAATTTATCCTCTAGAATATCTACTTTTTTGGCTACCATTACTCTCAAATAAATAATTTTATCATGAAGGCAACACTTTGTACGTTCGTTGGCTTCCCAACAAGCTCGAATCGCGACTGTATCGCACAGTATGGTCACTGTGCGCCACGATCCGGTGTTAGCTTCCCCATTATGTCAAATCAAGCTATCTTATTGCTCAGTACCATGATCCCATCGTCTATCCGCCGTGATCTCGTCCTCTATAAGCCCCACGATTTCAAATTGAGTAACTATTTTGCTATGTGTGAAGTTATCCCATCTTTTGTACGTCGTAATCTCAATGTTTCCTTCCCAACTATGTAAAACAGCGACCCCATAGGCTCCCGGCTAACTTGAATCACGATAAGAACATTGCAATCACGTCGTTAGCTTCCTAGAACGTGAGGTTCAGTCACTAGCACATTCCTTCGTTGCCTTCTTAGATCGCTGCTAAGGCACGCCAGATTCCATTGTTGGCTTCTCTATTCTAAAACCTGTAGGAGATCCCGTCATTTATTTCCGAAATATTGATTGCTCTGATACCAATTTAATATAAATTGAAGTCGAAATAAGCGAACAAACTACAAGAAATATGTGGGAAAATCTAAATTATGGTTAATTTGATTAATCTTCAAGCAAACAAACAAGATACAATGGCCTAATAAACACCCCTAAAACCCCCACTAATTCCACTCCTTGCATATGTGATTAGAGGCATAACGGTGGCCCCACCTGGGGGCTGGAATCTTCTCAGGCGGAGTTTCCGCGCCACTAGGCCGGGTCTGGCCGGGCCAATCCAGGAGGAACCGACGTAACAAATTCATGATAAAATCTGCAGATATTGCAACAAATTTAGCCAAAAGTTCCAAAAATCTGTATGAAATTTTGTGTTTTATAAATTAATATTCATTTCCCTTTTTTTTCTCTATAATTAAATAAAAATCGCCTATTTGCCAACATACACACCAAAGAGAAGCAGAGGCACCTATTTAAAAACTTAAAATGAATACAATTATATTATTATAAGACTACCAGAATACAATGATACTAAAAATTGATGCTGTATACTTGAAAAGCACCATAAATATTTTTCAACATAAAATACATCCTGATTTCCACGCCCCTATTTCTATTCTTCTACTCGCAATCCATCTCCAAATTCCAACATCAGCTTATTCAGCTTTTTGCTGTGAATTCTTTCCTGAATCACTCTCAACTCATCACTGCATCATAAACCAGTTCAAAATCAATATTAGAAAATCAACCAATAAACAAATTTCTTCTTCCTCCATAAGAATGCCAAGGGCTACAATACCTGGGAGGAGGGTTCGGTGTCGACGGAGAAAGCATTTGAGCAAGTTTAACGGCATCTTCGGGGCGGCATATGGCATGATTGAAGCACATATATCGTCCGAAGGCATCAGTGCTCTCGAAGATGCAGATATGAGCATCGATTAGTAGCTTGAGCTCAACTGTCACTAACACTCCATCCTCGTACATCTCCGGCGCACCCTTTAGATATGGATTCGATGGACTGAGTTCGGATTCTACAAGAAGACCTGAGTTCACCACCACCATGTTAACCCCACGATCCATTGCTAGCGCCCAGGCCGTCTTCTCGGAAAGAGTCTTTGAAAGAGCATGCCATAGCTGCATATTCATGGCCGTTAATTCTGTTACAGTTTGGATTTAGATGCTTGAAAAGGTTACTCGCCGTTGTGATAAATAGAAATTTGTATGAAAAGTTCTGGGATACTTACATACATACCACAATTCTTTTGTATTTATATATGGAACACCTAAAATTTCATGTTTAGGTCCATACGGCTCAAATCTTTGACACCATATCAAAATATCACCATCATTTTTTTTAAGTGAAATACTCCTTTTTGTTCATAGATATTTAATATCAGTGTGTAATAAATGTAATTATGGAAGTTTAGTGTTATATATATAGAAACATAAGAATTGTGTGGTATGTACTTAAATTTCCCTTTATTATTTGTGTAGGCCCTGATACGAGAGATGTCCAGTAAGCCGGATGTGCGGTTGACGGTGCCGCCAAATGCACGGCATGGTGTGATCTATTCTGTCATCCGCACATCCAGAAGACGGATGTAATATCTTCTCCCGATGCGAGGGCTGGTTTTTTAATGCCCTCCTAGAAAGTGACAGAAATCTTTCAAGCAACTGTTTTATTTGAGTTTATAGAACGTTATCCAACCCTCTACTACCCCTGTATTCTTTAGAATTACATTTACCATCAATTGCAATTTTTTAGAGCATATTTCTTCGGGGCATTTTCATACATATCACTAATTCCTATATATTTACTCAAGCCTCTACTACCCCTGTATTCTTCAGAATTAGATTTAACATCAATTGCATTTTTTTTAGAGCATATTTCTTCGGGCCATTTTCATACATATCACTAATTCCTATATATTTACATGTCTAACACCTAAACTTCATTTTTCATTTTTACAGCCCAAACACACCTTTTCATGCATAGGTGAGGTGGTATGTATGTAAAAATTGAAGTATAGGAGCTAGATATGTAAATACATAGAAAATATGTGGCATGTATGCAAATCTTCCTTTTTCTTTTTGATAAAATTAATACTTGGGGACAATCTCTTAACACCCACCTATATTTACTCTTTCAACTAGACAAGATAAGTCCTTATGGAATGGGATTCTCTTTCATGTCAAGAAAAGTGGATGCCCCATTTTAAGAGTAATGTTACCCACTTAAAGCGACTAATTTATTTACATATATGCCATTGATGATGACCAAACCAGCTTTATCCAACTTAACAATTAATTGCAAATTGTCACCAACTATTAATAAATACTTTACACCCTCAATCCCATCTGAACTCCCAACGCTAGCATTTAACTACTTTCCCAATCAATCCATTTCTGTTAGAAATATCCCCACCCAATTTTATTGTTTTATAAACAAGTACCTTCGTTTTCATATTAAAATTTTTGGAGATTTGCATACATACCACACATATTTTATGAATTTACATATCTAACCCCCCTAAAGTTCAATATTTACATTTATAATACTTTGATGCTAGCTGTATACATATGTTGATGTGCATTTGTTATTAAAGAAGGCAATGAAGTCGTAATTTTGATGTGATATTAAAGATTTGAGCGTTATGAATGTAAATATGAAAGTTTATGTGTTAGATATGTAAATACATAAGAATCGTGCAGTGTAGATGTGAATGTCCTAATTTTTTGGATTTGAAGTTTAGTGCACCTTCAAGTAGCACGAAATACAAATTGAGCACTGAACTTAATGATTAATATAAGAAGCATAACACAAGTGATTAGCTTAATTAAAGTGATTCAAAATTAAATTACCTTAAACTTTCTGCAAAAACTCGGCTCACTCCAATCTCTCTCATCAACATCCTCAGCTAATTTTCGGTTCTCCTTCCATATGATAGCTGTCACCGAAGAAGTGAACACAACCCTCTCTACAGTTTCAGCCTGCGCACAAGCTTCTAATACATTATGTGCAGCTCTCACCTCTACCTCCACCATGAACTCCTGCATCATAAATAAATAGATTTCAGATGTAATTTAAAAAAATAAAATAGACTAAAGTGTAAATTTGTCCTTGTATCATAACTGGTTATAAGGATTTAAAAGGCAAGATTAAGGTAAAATCATCACTTTTGGCATCATGGGAGGCCAGATTTTTTTGTCATTTTAAGTATTTGTAGGTGATATTTTCAATATGATTTAAAAATAAATTAGGAAATTATATATATAAATAAATAAATGTTGGTGCCAAGTTGTAATAGAAACTTGCCAAACTCATTTATGGACAATCAATGGCTGAGCCCGTTTTTGGCCCAAATAAGTGGCCCACGTACTATAAGGCAGCTGACGCAGAAAAGCAACAAACGGCCTGGTACTTTAAAACACGCTTGTCGAGCGCGTGCACGATGATTTCGCTGTTTCGTGTTCGACAACGAAAATCTTTTCTTCCCGCCCGCCGACGTATAAAATTAGCTCTATTTATTATATTATTATATTTATTTTAAATAAATTTAATTATTTTGAGACCGATTTTAATCAAAATTTAATCAAATATTTTAATACAATTTTTTGAACAGATCAGAACAAATCACAAGAACTCTAAACAAAAAAGATTTACTTTTATAAATAAATGTGTCAGTCATGCTCAAAAGCTTTAAAAATATTAACTCATTTAAATAAAAAATCAGATTTTTACATAAATAGAAAGCAAAACATTGCTATTTACATTCGTACCACTCAAATTTTAATATTGCTAAATTTGCACTCTCGTTCTCTCTTCTATCTCCAACCTCCTCTTTTCCGGCGACATGCCTTTAATAGTATTCAAATTTAAGACGTGAGATAACTAATAAGAGTCCATTTGGGGCAACTTATAAGTGCGATGACGTTTTTTAAAACGATGCGTTATCGTTTGATTCATGTGTTTTGTCCGCTTATCCAAAAATGCAGTTCTATTTTTATACTAAACGCAGACCGCTGGTCGAACCCCACAGTCGACCCGCGGGCCGTGTTTCAAGATAAGTTATCTTGAAACGTACAAACTGCCCCAAACGCACCCTAAATATTTGTATGTAAAAACTTCTACCATCTTATATTTGGATCACCTAAAAAGAGACTCCATAATAATCAAAAAAACGTAAGCTAAATATTTCTCCATTAGATCTTCAAATAGATTAAAAGAGTATGTGTGCCCGGATGACTACCACTGAATATCACGCCGTGTGAATTATGTGACGGACACATGTGAATTTGTGTTAAGATTAGTCCCAATTGCCATTACGCACATGCTAATTTTTCTGATATGGGAGCAAAAAACCGCTGGGCCCAAACTTTTGCCTTGGCCGCCGACGGCGCCTTGACGCCGATCGCCGCCGTGCACAACTCAAAAGAGCGCAAAAAAAAAAAAAAAAAAAAAAAAAAAAAAAAGGAAGAAAAGGCTCACATCATAGGAGACACCGTCGAACGTGTAGAAGACGCCGGAGCATCCCCTTACCGCATCCGCAATGCTGTGGTAATCCAAAGGGTCCGACCTGAAAACCCTAACCATCTCGCTCTCGCTCCAGCTCCCCTCCTTCCACCCATCCCCTGCACGCACGCCAAGCGTTTGATGAAATGCCACACACGAAACTCAGCAAAAAAAAAACTCAATCAACGATCGAAATCGAACCTCGGCCGAACACCGCCGCGTGAATGGTGTAACCCCGGCGAAGCAGTCGATCAACGAGCCCGGCGCCGATCCTGCTCGAAGCATCCATTACGCACACCTTCTTTCCCGTTTGTCGTTCCATCGAGGGAGCCAAAATGAATAGTAGGATTTACTAAGGGAGATAAGAGGAAACAGAGTAGATAAGTGAAGGGAAGAGCACCGCTTTTATATCTGAGAAGAAGGATCGGAACCTTTCGACCATATAAAGTTACGCAATAAAGATAACGTCGATTATAGAGGCGTAGTTTGATTTTTTCTCCTCATTTAATTAAAAAAAACGATATATTTTAAACTGCATTTGGCCTGGGTTAGTTAACTGCAATGCAATTCTGTAATTTTGCGCCCCCAATAAAATAATGAAGAAAATATCATCCTGATGGCTAATTACACGCGCCACATCGTCAGACAGTACGAATTATTACTTAATACATATTATAACTATGAATGTCCAGTTATTACATCACAGCTGTCCGTCAGTTTAGATTGATATCACCCAACTGTTTTAACTTTAAACTGATTAAATAGCAGCCGTTCAAAATAGATCAGAGGGCTAAGACTAATACGCGGAAGGAACCAGAAGCATTGAGAGCATGGAAGAAGACAGGTGGGGGTTACGGGTATAGGTAGACGGAAGGGAAGAGAGGGAGAGAGGAATTGATGAGGGGGGAGGTGTTCGGTGGCCGGTAAGCGGGAGCGTGCGCGGCTAACCTTCTCGGTCAGCTACGCTGAGGTGAAATTTTATGGGATTAGGTATTACTTGTACGCTAATTTGTCTTATTAGACCCAATTGTCGTGCGTCCAGTTTAATGTTAGTTTTTTTATAGTCTATCTAGCTGCTATTTAGGCAAATGGCGATGTGAAAGGTTTTGGAGGGTCGAGTTAAATTAAGTATTGCTATTAATTTCGTTGGTTAATAAAATTTATGTATGGGATGTTGATTGACTTTTACATAGTTTTATTTTTAATTGTAGGATATTTGCTTTGAAGGAATTTTTTATGCTTCTATAAAGGCATGCATGTGTTTTTCTTGTTGTTTGGTGTTTGATTTGGAGAGAAGTTAGGGAAAGTAAGTTTTTGTGAATTTTGATGTTAGACATAAAGGGCATCTTTGGATGCTCTGCTTCAGTCGCCTCCTCCATGCTCTTCCTGGTTCTCCTCCACGCCGCTTGTTCCGTCAGGCCTCTCTGGTTTTGCTAGGGCTTCTTGCATAAACACAACACTTTATATCACGCATAGTATTGTGGTTGTAATGTGTATATTATTCTTTCAACTATTTCAAGCATTATGTTTATATATAGAGAGATATATATATATATATATATATATATATCACTGTTGTATCTATCTTTGTGATTTAATCAGCATATAGTTTATTGAGTAGTGTTCTTATCTTTCTTATTACTTTCTGCTCTTCCTCTTCTTTTTCTTACTTTTTTTCTTCTTTTCTTCATTTTTGAAAATATTTTATGGTATTAAAGTCTGTCGGTTCACAACAAAATGGAATTTAGTTCCTCAACATCTACTCGAGACAACCAACAATTTAGCGCATCTTCTTGAAAGATGAAGAAAAATAATATACCAAATTCTCTCAAGTTCTTGATGACACATATCAAGATTGTGGTCACCACACCACTAACTCAAGAAAATCACATAGTATGGAAAGTTCATATCTCCAAACTAGTCATTGTTAATGGATTCAAATACTTATTAGATTGTAATGCTTCTCGACCACCAAGATTTAAACAAGATGAATCGGATAATTCTATAGAAAATCTTGATTACAATCTACGACAACTTATAAACAAGAATCTCGCCACAACAATTTTCTCTACAATTTCTTCTTAAATCCTTTCGTATATCCTTCATCTCAACCATACCGCCGAAATCTGGCAAAGTTTTGCCAAACAATTTCAAGCAACCAATAGATCTCTGTAATTAAACTCAATAACAATTTACATAATATCACAATGGGGGCCAATATGATGAATCAATACCTCACTACTATAAAGAATATGGTGGATCACATTGTTGCAGCTGGCTACAAGGTTGGCAACAAAGATATCATTCCTTACACCTTAAATGGTTTCCATCCATCCTACCAAGGCTTTAGAACCGCAATCGTACTCAATTGCATCCTCTCAGTCATGCAGATTTTTATGCACTCTTGTAAAGCGAAAACTATAACTTAGCCAACGAATCAACCAAGCAAATTCTTACGTATTGTTAATGATGGTGAGTATACATCTTACCTTCTCAATAACTATTTAAATGGCCAAGGTATCAAACATCAATACAATTGTCCATATAATCCCAAACAAAATGATCTTGTAGAACGTAAGAACAAGCATCACTTCAAAACTGCACGAACTCTTCTATACGCAACCCAACTTCCAATTCATTTATGAATGGATGCCATCAAACCGCCAACTACGTCATAAATTGCCTTCCTTCTGCCACGACCAACCACCAATCTTTTTTCCAATTACTTTATAATTTTTGTCATAAATATCAACACCTTAAAACCTTTGGATACCTCTGTTTTCCTTGGCAACCTTCCCACACCTCTCACAAATTTCATTGAAAGCCCATAAATGCTTTTTCTAAGAATATAGTTTACATCACAAAGGTTATAAATATTTAACATTCAGGAAAACAATTCTCTCATATCTCGTCATGTTATCTTCATTAAAGATAACTTTCCAATCACCTCCCCCTCTCCTCACCCAACTTCACCTCATTCAACTCATATTCCCCCATCTTTACCCTGACCTATTTCTGCCACTTCCACCATATCTAATCCTCATACTTTCCATAACAGTGCTCACACTGATTTAACTACTAACTTTGCACCACTCTCACTTCCTCTACACCCATCATCTCATCTCCTCATACCACCCTCTCCCCACTACCAACAATCCCTTCACTAGCACCAAAACATCATACAATAACAAAAAACCAAACTAGAAATCTTAAACCCAAGCAAATTTTGGACCTTCAAAAAAATTTTACTCTTGATGGCACATTGTGCTTCTACAAACAAGAAGCAAAACATCCTCAATGGGTTCAATCCATGCTGTAAAAGTTCATGGCTCTTCAACAGCAAGGTACCTGGATCCTTGTCCCGCCTCCTACAAAACCAAACATACTCTAATGTAAGTGGAAATTTAAAATAACATATAATGTTGATGGTATTATTGCTTGTTACAAAGCTTGTTTAGCTGCTCAAGGATACAAACAATAACAAGGTATCGATTATAATGAAACATTTAGCTCAGTTGCAAGATTTCCCACCATTAGACTTCTTATTGTTTTTGCTACTTTCAAACAATGGGAAATTATGCAAATGGATGCCTTATACTCTTTTCTACATGGTAAGCTCGATGACAATGTATTTATGATTCAGCCCCCTAAATTTAGTGACACAACTTACCCTCATCATATTCGTAAACTTCAAAAAGCTCTTTATGGCCTAAAGAAAGCATCATGTCAGTGGTATTCCACCTTTTATCAATTTTTATACACTCAACACTTTACTTTAGGCACTATGGATCCCTCGTTGCTAATTTATATTTAGTAGCAAACTTTCATTTACTTACTCATTTACATAAATGACATTTTAATCACAGGAAACTCCAATGCTGCCATCACTAACTTTGTTAACACACTAATTAATCGATTCAATCTCAAACAACTAGACCAAATTTTTTAGTTTGTTGGGTTGTTGGCATCAACTTTTGATGTCACGAGTGTAGGGTGTTGATTTCGACTGTTTATATGCAACAATATAACAATAGCTTTGATTATATTTTTCACTTATATTTCTTTATTTTGCAATAAAATCAAAAACTTAATCCTGAAGAAAAATAAAAATTTAACTTTTTAATTTATATAACGGTCCCTTGATTTTCCAACTCACTCATCATTTGAATAACAAACTCTTCTAACATTAATTCCTTCTCCTCATCCTGTGGATTAGAGTTGAATTGAGACTGTTTCATTCCAAATTGGTTCAACTTCCTTGATATTGCAGCAACCTGAGATGCAAGAATTGGAATCGCATCTATATCATGAACACTGGCTACCTTTTCAGGAATTACCCTAGCAGAGGGCCATTGAAATTCATTTGTAGTCATTTCTTCAATTAACACATATGCTTTATTAAATGATTTTCATATTAATGATCCACCAGCGGCAACATCAATTATAAACTTAAGGGATTCTACTAACCCATTGTAAAAAGTTTGAATGATTAACCAATCGAGTAGAGCATGGTGCAGACACTTTCTTAGGATTTTCTTAAATCTTTCACAAACTTTGTATATTGATTCCCCTTCATACTGAAAAAATGAGATAATATTGTTTCTAAGTTTAGTAGTCCTTGAAGATGGAAAATACTAAGCTAGAAATTTTTGAGTTTACTCATCCCAATTTCTAATAGAGCTTGATGCTAATGGAAAAGAAAAAACCTTGGTCTAACAGCATCGTCTGACTTGTCGTTATAACAAAATATAATACAAAGTTCTAGAAAACTTGATAAGTGTAAATAGAGTTGCCGTTATAACAAAATATAACACAAAGTTCTAGAAAACTTGATAAGTGTAAATAGAGATCCTCCGAAGGAGTTCCCCCAAACTGATTGTTCTGCACTAGTTGGATAATCTCTAGATTTATTTCAAAAGAGTCAGCTTCTACGATAGAGGTTTGTATACTTGATTGAATTTCAACTGTCGTAGGATATACATAATCCCTCAAAGATTTATGATGATTTTCCAAGTTATTATTTTGAATGTTTTCCATTTCCATTTTTAATTCTTCTAGTCTTTTCTATTTTTTAATTTTTTTTTTCTTTTTTTCTAACTCAGGATCATAAGGCACAAGTCCTGCGGATCCTTTATTTTGCATATGCAACACAACAAACAATACATTAACAATTAAACTGATACATTAATAAATAAATAAATAAAATAAAATATATATTCAACACAATAAAACATTTTCACTGACACATTGTTTTTCACACAAACAGTTTTTTCACAACACTTTTTCATACAAAAAATACTTTTCACACAAAAATAGTTTTTATGACACTACAAATTTTCCAAGTCTAAATCTAATTACTTCGACTAAAATTCTCCTAAAGTTCTTACTGAAGCTTCCCCAACAACAACGCTAAAAACTTGATGCGCCCCTGAGATAGTGCCAAAAACTTGACCCGACCCATAATTACGCAG